TATTCAATAAAATTTAACAACATTCATGCTTTAAAAACTCTTAGCCAGCTAGTATTAGTTTACCTGATAAATTTCATACTTAGTAGTAAAACATAAAAACATTCTCTTTCAAATTAGGAGAAGAAAAGAATACTCTGTATAACCAGTTACATAAAACATACAACTGAAGGTCCTAGACAGTGCAATATGACAAGAAAAATAAGCAATAAAAAAGTAAAATGTACATGAAAGAATTAAAACTGTGATGAATCACAAATTATATGATTGATTGTTGAGAAAACTCAAATCAGTAAAATTAACAAGAGAGTTTAGTAAAGTTTTTAGATAAAAGATCTGTATATGTGAGAATTAATTTCACTTATATGCAAGACAAAACCAATTAGAAAACATACTTTTAAAAATTCAAGTAAAAAGAACAATAAAGTATAAAATGACTAGAACTAAGTCTTCTTAAAGTTATATCAGATTTATTTGGATAAAATTATAAAAATTTATTAAACAACATTAAAGAAGACCTAATAAATGAAGGGATATATCATGTTCCTAGTTAAAAAACAGAATTATAAAAATGTTTGCTCTCCCCAAATTGATCCAGAGATTCACTGTGCTCTATCATAAACCCCAATGTCTTTTTTAATAAGTTGACAAGCTGATTCCAAAACTGAGGTAGAAAAGCAAAGGACTAGAATAGCAATGTCATTCCTGAAAGTGAATAAAGTAGAGTACTTCCTTACCAAAAATCAAGACTTACTAGAAAGCAAGAGTAAGTAAGACAATGGAGTATGAATACAGAGAAAGACAAATAGACCAAAGGAGCAGAAGAGAAAACCCACAAATAGACCCATACTATATGGGAACCTGATATATGGCACAGCTATCATTATAGATCAATGAGAAAGAATGGGTCGTTCCATGATTATATGAATGTATTGGTTATCTATATGGGAGAAAATAAAAATAGATCTCTACTTCATAGTTTATATATATATACACACACACAATCAGAATAAGTACTTAAGTGTGAAAACTTTAGAATTTTTAGAAGAAAATGCAGACAAATATCTCCCTTAAATAGTATTTTTTAAAAAGAGGTTGGGCATGATGGCTCATGCCTGTAATCCTAGCACCCTAGGAGACCAAGGCAAGAGAATCACTTGAGCTGAGGAGTCTGAGGTTGCAAGGAGCTATGATGATATCACTGTACGGTAGCCCAGGTGACAGAGACCCTATCTTCTCAAAAAAAAAAAAAAAATGAAGGGAAAAAGCGACAGAGAAAGACGAAATGATAACTCATCCAAAATATATATACTAGGAATTTCAGATAGAGAGAGCTTAAAAATGACTTGAGTCTAGAAATTAAAGTAACTAAAATAATGTCAGCAGAATTTTTTTTTTTTTTTAGAGACAGTTTCATTCTGTCACCCTCGGTAGAGTGACATGGCATTTTAGCTGACAGCAACCTAAAACTCTTGGGCTCAAGTGATCCTCTTGCCTCAGCCTCCCAAGTAGCTGGGACTACCGGCACCCACTACAACAGCCAGCTATTTTTAGAGACAGAATCTTTCTTTCACTCAAACTGGTCTCCAACTCCTAAGTTTGAGCAGTTCACCCGCCTCGGCCTCCCAGAGTGTTGAGATTGCAGGTGTGAGCTGTAATTCTGCACCTACTATCAGCAGAATTTTTAAAGAGTTGGTTCTTCGTATGAAAAACAAATTTAAAATGGATAAAATTCTACTAAGCCCAATAAAAAAGAGAGAAACAACACAAATATGTGAAATTTTAAATGAGGATTAAAACAGAATGGATACAGAAACAGTATCCATCTCTTTTGGATACAGAAGCAGTATCTCTTTTACTGCAATAATATGTATGTACAAATCCATACCAATGTTAAGAGGCAATATCTGGTGACATCTAAGCTACCAAATTGATCAAAGAAGTAGAAAATGATCAAAGACTACCCTGTCCAGAAAAAAGAAGTACTAGACCCAGTTTTACCAGTGATTTCAAGGCAATTGCATCTTATGCAATTATACAAGGTTTGTTTTCCTGAAAATCTTCTATAATTTAAAACTTACATAGTAGAACACCATTTTCAAGAAAAGATGATGAATATCCTGTTTATCAGACATAAATACAATTTCACCACCTTTTAAATTACATGAATATTAATCCTTTTTAAAACTTAGTTTGATGCATATTATGCACATTTTATGCATAAAGCCACACTATTTAAAATGTTTACATCTAGTAATTTTCAACTTGCATAATTCAAATTCATAAACAGCGGCCTTAGTGCATTTTTGGACCTTTAGGAAACAATAATTCTCAGGCCAGGGAGAGTCTAAGACAACAGAAAGTAAAAAGTATAGCTGAAAAAGATTTTATAGGTTGGTACGACCCTGATATTAAAGCCTAACAAAGAAAATCTGAAAGCAATACTTATTAATACAGATGCAAAAATCCTAAGTAATAGCAAATCTAACTCAATAATAAATATACAGTGTAAGTTCTTACACGCTTTCCCTCAGCCAGGATTACCAAATGCAATCCATTCCCTCTGCCAACAATCTAAGACCCAGAGCCTCCGATTACCTGCAGCTATTCTAACATGCCCACTGCAGCTCCCAGCAAAGGAGTTCTATGTTAACCAACAGTGGATTCAGTTTGCTCTCAAACCTCTTTATGCCAGATGTACTAATATAATTATAATAAAAATAAATAAATAAATTATATATCAAAAAGTACATGAGATTTGAGTTCAAAAAGAAAGGGCATCACACCTATGAAAGCTAGTTTAATGTTTTTGATGCTTTCTAAGGGATAAAAACGAAGTATGTGTGACATAACATAAAAGAGGAAATGTTAAACTTTAAGAATTATTGAAAATTATGATGAAAAACATCATATTTTTTTGCAAGTACCATTAAGTTCTTCTCAAACTTTAATAAACCTAAAGCTAAAAATCCTAGATAATACATTTTGGATGTGATTTATACCAAAAGAATGACATGACACTCAGGTTAGCATAGTCAAATGATAGGCAAATAAAGTTATATGTATATGGTTAAAAATGAAATGTTTATAGTATATACGTATGACTTTTAATGAGTCCCTATTTAATCAGTTTTCTCAATTAGCCTGTCAACTACCTGTCTTGATTGTATTGAATATGAAGGCTTCACTTGTAGTAGACTATAATACCATGACCCATTGACTGATCTGGATTTATCCCAGGAATACAGAACAGCTATGTACTATGTTAACAGCACAATGGAAAACAAAATGGTTGTCTTAATTAATGTTAAATAGATGAACGTTATACTTGATAAAACAAAATTTCCTATACCTAATTCTTATGATACTTGATAAAATTAAACTTCCCATACCTAATTTTTAAGCTATTAATAAACTAACAATAAAGACACAACCCTGACAAAATAAAATATCTATCTAGAACCATCAATCCTTATCCTAATTAATGGAAAACTAACCAAAACATTCTCATTAGACTCAATGACTAAATATGTTTGCTCACTAACATTTTAAATATCAAGTGGTTATTCTGGAGAAATGAATAAGGTAAAACTATTTCAAACTGACAAATTTATTATGACTTGAAGAAAATAATCTTACCTACCTGGAAAACCCAACAGAATCAATTAACAACAGTTAGAACTAAGGAGGGAGCTTAAGAGTCTGCTCCAAAATAAATATATACAAAAACATTGTTTTCCTATATTCTAACAATAGTCAGTTAGACAAAGTCATAAGAAAGATAGTCTGTTTAGTATAAATGACAAAGGTTATAAAATGCCTAGGAATAAATTTTAACAAGAAGTGGGCTTGAAAGACCTGAGTAAACTAAACTAAAATAATTCCTCTAAGAGGCATAAAAGAGAAGAGAGTAAATTAACATATTGAAAGTCTAGTGATAGGGAATAGCTGAAATGTTATGGAAGTCCTATCTTTAAAGAACATAAAAATACGGGGAAACATTCACATATTCTTCTAAGTTGAAAATACATATTATAAAAAGTACAATATGATTCCAAATTTGTGAGGAAAACAGTACGCACATGTGTGTAAAAGATATCTAAAAATGTAGGTACATCAAAATCTCAACAGTGATTATCTTTAAGTAGTAGGAATACAAGTGGTTTTAACTTTCTGCCTTACATATTTTGCTTTCCATGTTGTCTACAAAAGATAAATTAGAAGAAATTTAAAATACATATTGCCTCCTTCTAGAAGGCCATAAAACACCTGACATAGCAGTGCCTTCCCTTAACACCATGAATGGAATTTAACTCACTGCCTTTAGGCAGTTCCTATCACTTACAACCAACCAAGCGAGCCACAGAATATCAGCCCTTAGCATGGGACTTATGAGTGTATGCTGAAGGCAAGACACCAAAGTCATCTTCCTGGAGGGACCCACAATCCAAAAAGATGACACCCAGAAAAGCAGCTCAGGCAGGCAGAAACAGCCAGAAGCTCCTAGGAACAGTAGGAGCTGACCACTAGGTTAGACAGACTTTTCAGAATTGCTGGGTCCAGACAGGGTTTCTCAGTCACACATACCCTTTATGCATGTGGGAGGAACAGAGAAAGTCAGCCTACTGTTGCCCACAGAGGCTTCTCAGCTCCCATGTCCCAGAAGTCAGAGTTTCATCTACAGACTTCCCTGCTTCCATTGTCCTGTGTGGCTCCACCTAACCCCCCAGCCCTCACAGAGGTAAAGAGGATTGAGGTAAATCTCAGGATGCACTAGGAGATAACCTAGGGATGCCCATTTCTGAGACTCTATCCCTTAACTTTCTCCCCACCCCTGTGTTACTGCACAAGGCTCACAGGAGATTGCTTTCTGCAGAGGCTCAGAAAATACCTCCTTTCTTCCCCTCCCATTCTCCCCTCTTCTGTTTTCCCTTATCCCCTGCCCCAATTCCCAACTCCCCAAGAGAAATCAAGTTGCCCACAAATAGGCAAACAATACATACATGAGGACTGGATGGAGAAGATGCCATGTTAGTGGGGGCCAAGCTCGACAGACCATCTGCAAGCTACAAATGAAACATGCTGGTTAGCAACGGGATTAGAGAATCCACTTCAGGGAAGACAGCACAGCCTCCAGGAAGTAGCACTCTCTAACCAGGCACCTTGTACTTTTTCTCCAGGGATAACATCTGGTTTGGAATTAGACAGGCCTAGCTCCATCACCTCACCAACTGCATTCCCTTAAGCAGACCCACTTGACCTCTGACTCGGCATTCCCATATGGAGAATGGGAGCAAAGCCCACCTCCCTAGGCAACAATGAGTATGAATAAGACAAAGGCCATACATACCCAGGACAAGGTGAGGCATGTGGAAAGGGCTTGGCAAATACCTGTGTCTTGTCCACTCTCTCGCTGCCCTCCCTGCCTTTCCAAAATATGCCTGTTTCAGGGACACTCTAACCCCCCATCATCCAGAGTGGTTCCCTTGAACACTAAGCTGCACCATCCCTGCTGGGCGTGGTTCCTAAGACTGTACATTTTTCAGTATTCTTTCCTCAAGTACAAGAACCAGGGTACCATCTGAGTCCCCCTAAGTCCTATATCAGAGGGGACTTTAAGAGTCTTATAGTCCAACCTCCACATCTGTACTACAAGTAATGTTCTGCATCCTTTCCTGAGCATCAAAGCCCTGCCTGCAATTTTCCCGTACTGCGAGTCCATATTTTATAGGATGAATCACGGAGCAGCATCATGGAGGGCTTCATGGCCCAGGACTGGAGCTAGGGAGCCTTATTCAAAAGATATGAGAGTCCAGGAGAAGGTGATGGGTCTCTGGGTCGATGGGTACCAGTCCAGCAAGGGAACAAGGCAAGAAGACGCATTCTAGGCAGAGGGAGTAGCAAGTGCAAAGGTGGAGAGGAAGAAATAGCAGTCAGGTCAGGAGACAGACACTGATGGAGAGGGCACAGGGCCAAAGGCTGCACAGAAGAGGAGCCCGGTGGGACCCAGAGCACCAGTAGACCCTCCTGCTGGGAAACACACCCACCTGAGGGTCAGGAAGAACTCAGATTAATATGAGGGGGATGAAGCCCTGCTGGGACCTGAGGGAAGTGTAGGAGCTGACAGAGCCATCCCTGCCCTAGGAAGGGCAGCATGGCTGAGGGGGCCCTCAGGGCTGCTCAGAGCCAGAAATGTGGGTGGGAGGGCAGAATGGCCAATGGGCACTAAGCCAGGGCTGCTGGATAGTGGTTCTGGTGCCCTGGCCACGTGTTGTTGGGCACGGTGTGACCCCTGGAATAGCCTGGATGAACTCCACGTGCAACCCCCAGCTGGCTGGAGGCTGGCCCAGCCAGGCAGCAGCCCTGCCCCTCCCATTCTCTTGCTGAACCCCACAGAAGCCTTATTGTTATTTTTAATACAGTTCTTTTTTAGAAAGGTGAGAGGGAAACCGGCAGTTCACCAGAGCAAAAGGAAGAAAAAAATAAAGCTAAACATAGTGCTCCAAAGATCTGGTCCAGCTTCAGAAATTACATGTTCCCCTTTGGGACTCAGGCATAATTTGCCACTCCAGTTCTAGGAGCACGTTCCCACCTTCACAGCATCCCAGAGACTGGAGCAGCAGGCTCAAAATTAGCAGCAGGCTCAAAATTTGCCAGAACCCTGGAGCCCGGGAGCCCAGTAGCCCAGGGACCTGGGGGTCAGGGAGCGGGCCAACCCCTGCACCCCACCCCATGGGCATAGGGAACTTGTCTGAGCCACCTTCTAACACCTCCTGCACACCAGCCTACCAGGCCTGTCTGCTGGCCACGCCCCCAGGCCCACCCCACCCCTTATACAGGAGTCCTACTTCCAAACTTTTGCAAAGCTCCTTCCCCCTAGGGAAAACATGAATGCAGTCCCCCACTATCACAAATTATGCAGCCAAGTTTCCCACATTTGGGATAATCACAAGGGTCAGCACAACTGTAGTACAATGAAAGGATGAGCCTGGCGCTGGGAAAACTACCTTTACCATCATGGCATCTCCTTGACAGATAAGTATTGCTAACCCCACCTGGCTTCTAAGGCCTTTCTCTAGCTTCCCTGGAAAAGCTTTCCTGATTACTTTAGCCCACGCTGACCTTCCAGACCAGGAGAGTCCACAAGGTTGATGTCCTTGTTAATGAAGCCTCTTCTCACTTTGACATTGCCAGCTGAGATCTGCTAGACATCCCTCATGTCCCTGCGATCAGAGGCGAAATCTCCCAAATGTTCTCCTCCTTATCCCTCCACAACACACACATATTTCCCACACCCAGAAATTTTCCTTTTCTGAAGACATAAAAATGAGACCCCTACCCAAGAGTAGTCTCTCAGAATACGACTCTGGAGGCATCTCAGTGCCTGGACGGCAGGCAATGTGCAGTGCTGTCCATCCAGGGGTACAGCCCTACTTTGAGTTTCAAGACCCTCTATAAGACATAGGTGGGGCAGGGCATAGCATTCTTTGTGTGTGTTCCTGAATCCTGCTTTTTTTTTCCCTCTTCATCATCATAATATCAAGGACCAGTTTAGTGGGGGAAAAAACAAATTAGTAAACAAAGACTCTAATTTTATTTTAAAGATAAAAATGAACTCCGAATCAGAGACAGAAAAGGGGAGAAGGAAGAGGAAAGGATAGAGAATGAAATGTTAGTAGCAGTATCTTCAGATCGTGTGTTTGGTTGGAGGTAATGTCTGTTGGTTCATCATTTCTCTACAATTTCCGAAAGTTATATAATGAACATGTATTATATTTATTATCAGAGAAAAATGAATATATCCCTTTTGAAGCAGAGAACTAGAAGGAATCAGGTAACTCTATTCTCTGTCTGTGAGGACACACCTGCACCTGCCCTCAGAGAGTTAAATCAAGGCCATAATTCCTGCAACATCACCACCACCATGGATAGACAGACACTCCTCCCACCAGCCTGCATATGCACGGGTCTCAGCCTCCACCTCTCCTGCACACTCCTGTGCACACACCACCCCACCCCCATCTACCAGTCTGAAGTCCACACATGGGACGACATCCCGGGGCCAAGAACAAATGAGGGAGTTAACATGCACCACTGTGCCTCTTCCCAGCCCTCGTCACAAGGATAACAGTTGAACACAGGCTCCCTTCACCCCCAGAGACAGGCACCAACCACCGATCAGCCCTGAAGGCTGGGAACACAAGTTTGCCTTATACATATGTTTTAAGTCATCTCCAGAATTGGCACCCTTGACACATACCAAAATGTTTCTAAAAACCTGAGAAATGCTCCATCGTGAGTGCCAGCCCATGGCCTGAGCGTCAGGAAAGAGTCTGAGGTGACATTTTCTAAGTGTATGGTAAGCCCATCCCAGGACCTGGGCAGATGGTAGTGAGACGCTTCAGGAGAGAGAAGGTGTGACCGAGGAAAGAGACAGGAGGGCACCGAGACAGAAGGCTGCATCTGGCAAGAGTGGGCTTGTGCTGGAGGGGAGCCCTGCGCTGGACCCACAGCCAGGACATGGTAAGGACAGCAGCGGGGACTCTATCAACTATGTGGATGAAGCAGGAGTGGGTGGGACACACAAGAGCCCCACAAAATCCAAATTTGTCAGAGTTCTTGTCACTCCCATCCCCAAAGGCCCCCACTTCTCATGCTATCTGGACTGGGAAAGGAGTCAGGGAAACAGAGCCCAGCCAGAATTATCTGGCAAGACCCTGGCACGGGAACCCTCTGCCTGCTGGGTCAGCCCTGGAGTGCCTGGTCCCCCAGAGTGCCAAGGATATGAATGAGAGACAAGCAAATGAAAGATTTCCTGGGTCAGCCAAATGTGATCAAGGAATCTCAGAGAAAAACACAATATAAAATCAGATACCAGTCTGGGGGCTTCCCCAGAGGGCCAGGAATCCCTGGAGACCAGAACTTGCCTCCCTGCTGGGTGTGGGGCTCCTTCATCAAACAGGGAGCTCAAAGAGGCAAGTTCCACACCTCCTCCATCAGGGTGGGCTGGCCTCCTTCCTCTTCCTCCCTGCCTGCCTCTTAGGCCAGGCAAGGCCCAGGCCCTGCCCCATGGGCACACTTCCAGGAGCCCGACCCCAGCTCCACACTCCTCTGTCTGGCCTCCAGCTCTAGCCAGGGTGGCCGTGTTCTCCCACAAAGAGCACAGGCCTGGCTCTGGCTCAAACCCTGGCCCCAGTTCCTTCATGTCAATGCCGGGAGGGTGGCCAGACTGGGCCTCCTCATCGTCTGCCTCTGGCTGTGCTTGTAGCCAGCAGGACCCAAAATAGTCCCTCCCCATCTGAGTCTGTAGACGTTTTGAGGGCAGCACATACAGAACGGAAATCCTGCTGGGCAGGCCCTGAGCTTCCCTGCGCTGTCTCAGACAGGCCCTTTGAGGGGGCGGGAAGCAGGAGCCAGGAACAGACAGCCCAGAGTTTGGGGCAAACTACCTACCGAATGCAGCTATAAACACCCAGTCAGGCCAGAAGGCACTAGCACTGAGTTTAGCTAAATTTCATGTAGGGCAATTTGAAATTTCCATTTGGGTTTCCCTAGCCAAGAGAGGTTCTTCCTCAGACTCATATAGACAACGGACATGTCATCCATCCATCCATCCATCCTTCCACTCATTTGCCAGACAGACAGACTCTCGCTGAACACCTCCTCTGAGCTAGGCCCTGTGCTGAGCACTGAAGGTACACAGAAGCTCCCTGCCACTGCCCTGAGCCCAGGCTAGGGAAGACGCTGACATTTACAGAGACAGCAGGACTCCAGACATGCCCAATGACTGAGATACGAGAAGGGGAGGAGCCAAAGAAGAATCCTCAAAAGAAGTGACCACACCTGAGCTGAGGCTCAAGGAATAACCAGGAGTTGGCCAAGAGAGCAGCGGCAAAAGTTCTCCCCAGAAGAAAGGGTGGCAGAGCACAGCGCTGGAGAGCCCAGGGTTTCTGAGAACTTCTTAGCTTCAGTGAAGCTATAGAGCAAAACTCTTGTCTCATCAGCAGTGAGGCCTAAGGACACAAGTATTATCCACATAAGCTGGGAGCTTCTACCCCTGGGCAGCCCAGATACTTTGGGAAGCAGGTGTGAGCAGTGTCGTGTGAAGCCCAGATATGAGGATGACAACCTGGAACAGACTATGTATTAAAGGCCAGTGCTTATGGTGAGACTTTTCTCCAAGTCCACTGCAGGAAGGGCTAGATGGTCTCAGACCTACAGGACCCAGGGCCACTCTAGGACCCGCGGGATGCAGACAATGCTCTCCCCTCCTCAGTAAAGATGCCACGGACCTCCTGCCATGCTCTTTAACATGAGTCACCAGCTGGCCCTAGGTTGCTGAGATTATACCAAAAGATGACTCTTATCTCCCCATGGGATTGGACACCCTTAGAATAATGTCCCTCTCCTGCCCCCTCCCTTCCTTTCCCTGGAGGTGGGAGAATGGGGTGTGATGGACTATTTCTTGGACCCAGCCTCTTCCTTTTAAACTGCCTCCAAGATGCCATCAAGCACAAGTCCATAGAAAAATCTTCCCCCTAAAAAGGACCTGTCCAGGGTACAGGAATCGGGGCTGGAGTGCTCCAGAGCCTGCCCAGCCATCCCCTACCTTGTCTTCCTTTTCTTTCATTTGCTCCCCCATTCTGATTTTCTGTGTAATCTCCATGGGAAAGCCCTCAACATCACTCCAAAAGTAGAAAGGACATTTTTTGCCCAGGAAATAGGCCTGGGTCTTGTCCAGAAGACACCACCACTACCATCCCTCAACCAGACTGAAAGCTCCCATTGAGTCCCCTCCATGGCTCAGTATCCAGCCACAGGATAGAGAGGGAGAGGGTTTATAGAGGCTGCGTAATAATGAAGGGTGGGGAGAAGTACTGGGAAGAGGTGAGGAACAGGGGATGGGGGACAATCAAGGCCTTCATGTGAGGAGCTGGGATCTCTCCCCGGGACCCAGCACCCATCCTACCTGGACAGGGATGAGGGGCTCCTTGTCATCAATATCAATCAGCACGTCTTCCCCAGGACTGAGCAAGCTCACATCGTCTGTAGAGGACAGTGATATCCAGCCCTGAGAGGTGCTCCCCCAAGGGGCTCACCCCTCATCAGCCACAAGACTGCTAGGAACTGGGATAAGACCCTCAGGCCCTCCACAATTCTCAGTTGTGGTCTTTCACTTCCTCTCACCCAGATCTTCCATCTCCCATCTGCTCCACATCCCTGCCTCCCTCTTCACCTCCCCACATCTCTCTCCTCCCTCTCCACCTTGTCTCTCTGCATCTCTCTCTCCCTCAATTCTTCCCTTGTCCCCACTTTGAGCCTTGGCCCTCAGCCCCCACAGGCATGGGCCCCCTGCCTTATGTGCCCAGTCCAGAGCTAGGCAATGCCCTAAGAAGGTGAGATTCCCAGCCTCCAGGTCTAGCAGAGCAGAAGGCACTTCTTGTTCAGGTCCCAGTAAGAGAATAGCCTCAGAATGCATCTCCATCCTCAGGTCCATCTCATCTTTCTGGTCCACCCTCAGGAGCAGGAAGTGCTGTCTGGACCTAAGTCCCCAATCTTGTCCTCCATTACCTGGGCCTCCCTGTGGAGATGGACTCTCTGCCAAGTAGGGATCACACAGGAAGCTCTCCAGAGAGCGGATGGTACACTGGCCCACCACAGGCCGGCGGCCAAACTGGCGGTTATCAATGACCTTGACCGTGATGGGGGGACAGTAGAGCTCCTCCCTGGGCAGCATCTGGGTGGAGGAAGAGGAAAACTCTGGCACTGGCCTGGATCTATCTCTGGGAAACCTCCAGGACAAGCCCAAGGAGCAGAAATGACTATAAACCCACAGATAATCCCAACAGCCAGAAATCCAAAATGGTGGTAGCCAGAGCAGGCCAATGGAGCAAAGTCCCATACCTTCTCTGCTGGCCTCCTGCAGGCTGCATATGAAGGCTGGCTTTCCCTCCCAGCTTTACCTTCCAAATATACCCAGTGCAGCCTGAAGTTAAAGGAAGTCTGCTTTCCCTGAACCCTAACCGGCCGGGGAGGGGGAAAGGGGAGTTGGCCCAGGACCCAACATTTCTTGCAGACAGTCCCCCCCAAGTGGATACTCAAGAGTTGGCTTACAGACCCATATTCTCCCCCTACCATCGCAAAAGCACTTTGAACACAACTTGAAATAATTTTATATGCTCTCCTTCAGTGGCGGCTTTGGCTCAGCCAAGAGGAGGCTCCTGTTGACAGCCACTGGGCCTGGAATTCCTACAGCACTTTCATCTTAAAAACCATTTTCTTTTTCTCAGACTTGACTTACTCTGGCCACTAGGCCCAGGCATCCCAGGGAACTGGAGGGGGCCGGAGGGCTATGGGGTTGAGCTCCTCCAAGGGGGGCCCAGGCTCAAGGAGGGCAAGGTCAGGAGAGATAACTGAAGACCAGAGCTCTGGCAGGTCCCCAAGGGGCACTGCAGGAGACTGAAAGCTGCCCTGCAAGGGGAAACAGCCACAGAATGGCTTTTTGTGGCTTCTGCTGGTCTGGTAGGAGGCAGCAAGATGGGCCCATTTGCGCTGCTCATAGGCTCAACCCTTCCAGTGAGGAGAGTGTGAGCATCTCCTCCCCATTGTCATAGGACATGAGACAGGAGAGATGCCATGACCCGGCCTGGTCCTATGGGCAGCACAACTCCCAGGGTATTTGGGGCCAAGAGGAAATTCTAGCCACCAGGACACAGGAGGGGGATAGCAGGAAGGGGGACTCACCACCTCCATGAAGAGGGTGCAGATGTCAAAGTTGGGGTTCTTCCGGAGGTTCCTGATAACACAGGACTGTACTGTCTGACCTCCACACTCTACCACAAGGCTGGGGGAGGAGACACTGGCCAGCTGGTAACTCTTCATGTTCCGCAGGCCCCATGCCAGGATCTGGGGACACATATGAAGAAGCAGCTGGATAGGTGCCAGGTCCTGGGTAACACTGGGGCCAGGAAGGGGGAAGGGCCAGGCTGCACCCCAGCCTGGCACCCAAGAGGGCACTCACCTCGATGGCGGTACGCTGGAGAGCTGGCTTAATGTTCTGAGGAACCACATAGATGTTGGCCTCCCTCTGGGGTGGTGGGTAGGGTAAGTCTGTGTCCTCCGACTGCAGGGACAAAGGTAGGCGGAAGACCACAGCAGAAAGACAAGAAAGAAGAGGGACACACAAGACAGAAAGAGATGGCATGCGTGGAGAGACACAGAACCAGAAGCAAAAAGACACCAAAGAAGGCAAACAGGCAGGCAGAAGGAAAGCGCTAAGTCAGTGTCTGCCAGGCAACAATTGCAGCCCTTCACCCGGGGTTCAGGTCACCCTGTTTCAACTGAATCTCAAATCACCCTCTCCCCATAATGCAGACAGATGCACCAATGAGCTGCTCAGGGTCTCCCCCTCCCTGACATACACAGGCCATGCACACACATGCATATGCATCTGCACACCACCCACTCCTCCTTGGAGTGTCCACTTCAGGACCTCTCAGTCCCAGACAGGACCATGTGCCCTCCCTCCACCTGGTTCTCCTGCCACCTAGCTCACACCCTCCTGGGTCATCATCTGTCCTGGTGTTCCAGCTCCGCTCCCATGCCTTCCCACAGGCAGTCCCAATTCCCTTTTCTCATGCCTGTCCCCTATGAGGACAGAACACATGCACTTGAGCCAGAAAGAGGAAAGCAATTGACCAATGGGAGAAGGGGATACAAATGTCCATCATCCACAGAGCATCACAGCGCACTGCTGGGTAGGCACCCTCACCTACACAACACAGACAGAGATGAAAGAGGCGTGTGTCATCTCTGACCTACTAGGGGTTTGAAAAAGCCTTGGACAAGAATCTTCAATGATCCGGAAGATCACTGCTTCACAGGGGAAGCAGGGTGGGGCAAGGGAGGCAGGCACCACTTTAGCTAATCACCAAAACAATAACTAAGAACACAGGCTCTGGGTGAATCCTAGCTCTGCTACTCAGAAAGTTAAATAAGTTATTTTACTTCCCTATAGTTCGATTTTTTTATCTACAAAATAGTAAAAATTATCAACCTCTAAATGTCAATATAATTGCCTGGTTCATGTAAACTCTCATGAACTACTAGTCCATGTGGTGCCTTTGTGACAATTAGAGAAAGATGTCCTTTTCTTAAGACTCCTTATGTCTGTGACAGAAAAATCATATTTTCCAAGTTTATTAGAACTAGAGACTTTACTGCCACCTATTGGAAAACTGTTATAATAAATACAAATATATAGCAACTGTGCTAGAAATTGCACCCTCTTATGCCTTTGTGCAGTGCCCAACCTCCACATCCTTACATGGAGACCCTGACACTCAGAAAATGTTAACTATCTTTAAAAGGACTATGCTGGACACCTTACTGAGCTTACCTCATGTAATCTCATTTAATAAACAATGGAATCATTGGCTTCATTCACTACTTGTTTGGGGTTCCTTCTAAAGGGATGGCACATACATCTACAGATGTCCCGCCATAGGTGATGGCAGCAGAGCAGAGAAAAATAACAGCTTCCTCCCACCTCACAAGTCACTTCATAGCCAACTCAAGCTGCACTCCTGCCCAGTGACACCACACTTCCCTGACCTAGTGGTAAGAAGTTAAGTTCTAGAATCAGACAGACATTGGCTCTTAGTGCCAGCTCTGTCACGTCCTAGCTGTTTGATCTTGGGCAGATTATTCAACCTCAGTGACTCAGTATCCTCATATGAAGATGTGAGATGACTATACCCTTATGAAATTTCTCTGAGAATTAAATGGAAGGACAAGTAGAAAAAGTACCTAGCGCACAGGAGGTGCTTACTAAATGACTATGACAGGAATTCATGCTATAACTGTTACCAGTACATTGTTTCCACCACTGGTGTTGGTGTTGACCTTCCCAGGGTGACTTAAGGAGAGCTGAGCCATCAGAAGCAACTTTCAGAATAACTACCCTGCAATTCCCAGGGGATGAAGTGAAGGAATTCATCATTTTCCTTCAGACCCACAACGCAGGTGAAATGATATAAAAGGCACATGTAGTTTGGACTGACTGAGGAGGGGTGATGCGCAGGGTTGCCACAGTGTACAACTCCAGGGAGTGCAATGTACACCCTGGTCCACAAGAAATGCCCTAGAGGATGTAGGCAGAGCTTGCACAGCTTCTGAAGTGACCTGGATTCTATGGGGACCCCTAGTTTGATGTCCACCCTGGGCACTCCAAAGCCCTCCATTGCAAATGACTATATAGCAGGGTGGCCTCTTTAAAGAAAGGGTTGTGTTTGTGGCCCACTCATGCCTGCTCATGACTGATGCCCAATTCAATGTGGCCAAAAAAAAAAGAAGCAAAACACAATGAGATCAAGGAGGGGACAGCTCCAAGCTCTTCTGAGTAGAAAGTAGAACCACCAACCTTTCTCACAGGGCTTTTCTCTTAAAATCACCAAGGGAAACTCACAAATACATTCCCCTCTAGAACACATTCCCTCTAGGCCCCCAAACTCTGGGCAGCGTCACTTTATCCCTCCTTTCCACATTCCACTTTTCCCCCAGGGCTTCCTTGAGCTCTGTAATAATGACATTCCTCTCTATCAGCTGAGGACCAGGTTCCTCATTTTCAGGAAGCTGCTCAATGGGAGGACAGGGGAATGAGAATCTCGAGAAGGTTATGCTCTGGTACCATTTGGAGAAGGCCCTGGAGGAAGAAGGCAGGAGCACACAGCTGTAGAGTGCCAGGCCCAGCGGAGGCGGGAAGGAGAGACAAGCAGAGACAGGGGTTAGTGGTGTGTCCCAGGGCAGCTTCCTCAGCATGAGGCCACTGCACTCATCCCAAGGCCATCTCTGCCCACTTTGCTGTCCTCAGGGGGTCCCAGCACTCACTTGCCCCTGCCATCTGCTGCTGCCTCCCGAGTTGCATGTCTCTGTGGCTCCCCCTCTTCCCAGCCTGTGAGCTGCCATGGCAGTCCTCTCCCACAGCAGTCCTCTCCT